GGTTTATTTAGTATCTCATAGTTGAGGTCTAACTATGATGTCAATCACAGGCCTCTCTCATTATTTTATGTGGGAGAACTTGAACTATTGGTGCTGACTAAATACTTTTTCTCCCCACTTTAGCTAACTTAATATGTAGAGCTAATATTGACAAAATGTTTTTTTGAGGGCAGAGGAGAGAATTTTGCTACAGAGGCAGATTGTTAACGTTAGTGACGATAAAAGTTTAAAGTTGTCTCCATTGTCTCTGAAAGTGAAGCTCTGCTGAATGTACAAGTTGCTGTGTGCTGTCTCCTGGTGGCTGATGTTTTACAATGATATTATTTTGAATATTGTAGCCAAATTTTATACTTAAAAATTTGAAGACATCTTTTACCTCTCCCAGAGAACCACTGCTTACTTTCCGGGAGTGCTGCGTGCGAGTGAATGGAGTGGGGATGGGTGACAGCCGGTAAATAGCAACGAGTCAGGTTTGGATTTGAATCAGTAGCTAAATTTTAAATCCAATGAAAGCAAGAATGTTAACTAATAAATTGGACAACATTCTGGCTGTTTAGTCATATTTCCACAGTTGTGGTCTTGACTGGTCTTGAAATAAAATTCTGAGTCCTCAATGTCTGAGACCGAGACAAGACCAAGACCATCAAAAAGTGGTCTTGAGACCGGTCTTAAGACCAAGACCGGTTTCAAGTACTACAACACTATTTGTCCCACAAAATAGCAGCAGCAGAGACCTGTGCCCCCCGACTGTTTTGTGGTGATAAGCAATGGCATCAGCAGGGTTGGGCACAGCTAACCAAAAAATAGCTTCACTAACCACTAATCTGTTAAACAGGATTATCGGCTCCGCTAACGCTAAACTATTAAACAAAACTAAAAATCAGAGGAAGCTAAGCTAACCACTAACATGGTTAATTTGAATGTGGGTGGGATCATGTGGCAAACCAGCCAATCCAAACCAGAGTAAGAGCTCTGTCTAACTTGTGATACTTCCCATTCGACCCTTTCAGAATAAAAGCATTTGTATAAATACTATTTGAAGTTAGACAAAAAACAAATACTTTCTCTTCCATATTTTATCCATGGTCAGTTCTGTATTTGTTATTTAAATATTGCTAAATGCTATTTCATTAATTTTTTATACTCTTAATTTTAAGTTTAGCTGCTAAAGATGCTACATGCTAATGTAAATGTGTAGATTAATTGTGATGAAATGTATACTCACTGATTGTTCAATTACACTGCAGTGACAGAGTGCACAGAGACAGCACAGATTAAATACTTAAATTCAGATTAAATGCAGATTTAAAAAGTTTTATTTTATCAACAGATACCCAAGGGCAAACTGTAAGCGTATTTTAAAAATAAATGTATTTATTTAGTAACTTGGTGTATGGCATTGTTTCTGTGTTTCACTGGGTTTTGGTGGATATTTACACATTTTCCATCGATTCATCCTTCCTTCCATCCATCACACACAAGAACAAATGAAGAAACTTAAGACCATTTAACCTAACATGCATGTTTTTTGAGTACCCAGAAAGAACCCACACAGGAAGAACATGTAAACACCCAGAAAGGCCTCGGGTCAGATGATCCTCTGACCTTCTGGCTGAGAGGTAACAGCTCTAATCACTGCTCATCCGTACCATCGTACAGATTTTCTAATCTGGAAATAAGCTGTTTGCACTGATCCATACAAGACAAGGACCTTAAATACTCCAAATGATTCATTGGCTAAGTTGAAGAAATGCTACTTGCTTTTTTGTAATAGTTTTAAATTAGGATCATCTTTTTTTCAAATGGCAGTTATAGTTGTTTTGATCAAATCTTGAAAATAACTTTATGGACATTTTCATTCAAAATTTATAGCGCTTGAGAGCTATGTTGACATGCACTGAGTATGACTCTCAGCTACTACCACACCAAACTTACAGTAAATTTGAATTTGCCTCGTGAGAGCCATTTTCATTATTGGGGAAGGTCAAACAGCGGCCACCTTGAATTTGGTTGATTTCCAAAGTTAACGAGTTGCAGATCAAATAATTACTTTATAATTTTCATCCATCTCAACAACTGCCATCCAAATATTTTAATCAATGTCTGTAAAAAATTACTGAAAAATAACTAAACTCAGCACAAAATGCAAATAAATGTGTTTGGTGGATTATTCTTTGTTGTAATGTTTCTTGGCAATAAATCTTGTACTTTTAGAAAGCCCTGTTTGATCTCCTTTTTAAATGGTGTCACATGTGTAAGGAACATGCACTTGTGGGATCAGAAATAGAGTTGAGAATGTGGGTGGTGCAATTAAAAAAAATCCGCCAAATCTTCAAACACTAATTATACTTTTTGTTCTAAGTTTATTTTTGTGTTTGCAAAGGCAAAAGAGTGGCTCGAAACGCAGACACGTAGTTTTTCAAATTAACATTAGATGGCGATATATGTTTTCTACCGAGAAAAACACACAGTTTTATCTGGATACCAGCACACATTGGAATAAAAGGAAATGAAATGACAGATAAAGAAGCAAAAAAAGGCTACCAAAAACAAAGTAGTTGATATTGAAATAAAATTCAGTAAAACAGAAATAAAAAGCATTATAAAGATGAAAATGAGACAGAAATGGCAAAAATATGGAAGCCCATTTCCGCCACCCTGATAAAAAAATAAATAAAACTTGTATCTCATAATTATGAGATACTATCTCATAATAAAAAATAATCATGACTTAGCTATCTCACAATTATGAGATAATATCTCATAATAATGAGATAGTATCTCATAATAATGAGATATTATCTCATAATTATGACTTAGCTATGTCATAATAATGAGATAGCTAAGTCATAATTATGAGATACACGTTTTATTTTTTTTTATCAGGGTGGCGGAAATGGGCGTCCATACAAAAACAATGGGAGGAAGAAAGAAAAGGTCGATGGTTGTATAAAATTCAACGGAAAGTGGGAGAAATGAGGAAAGCTGGAGGAAACAGAAGAGAGGAAACAGTCATATCAAGACTCAGATTAGGACACACAGGGTTAAATAAATCATTATTTATAATTGGAAAACATAATACTGGAAAATGTGATTACTGTGGAGAAGATGAGGAAATAGAACACGTTTTAATACATTGCAAAAAAAATACCAAAATGAAAGAAATCAATTGATTAAAAGACTCATTGAAATTAAAACAAGATTTGATATTATAGAAATATTATGAAGTAATTCAAATTCTGAAACCTTTCAACTGTTAATGAAGTATTTAAGACAGACTCGAATGTATGAAAGAATATAGTATTTTATTTTGAGAGCTGTTCCAGTCCACACTCCACATCAGTAGGTGGCGGTAATGCACCTTAACGTTATTTGCCAACCGCCAAAAAAAAAAAACTAAGAAGAAGAAGAAAACACACTGTTTCCGGTTCTTTGTTCGACGTAATATCCGGTTAAATTTAAGTCAGGATGCACACACAATTATGATTACATTTGCGTAGCTTTTTCTGTTTATTTCATTTGTTCGATTTCTTTCGGCAGTGTGAAATAGTTTGATTTTGTAGTTTAGTGACGGTTTTAAGAAGTCGTCTCTGTAAGGCTAACTGCTAAGCTAGGCACGGGCTCCTCATTGTTAGCCTAGCTGTAGCCTCCGCTTTCACTTCTCGTCTGGGAGGCGACTCGGACCCGCCGCTGCTAACTAAAGAGCCTGGTTACTAAGGCGGGGTTTCGTTTTCTCTGTGTGTGGAGTGACGTTTTTGAGACTTTCACTGTTCTTTTAATAGAGGATTGAACGGAAACGAGCCGCTGGTTGCGTTTTCACGCGCATCGAGTAGCCAGCCGGCTAACTTCGAGGAAACTAATCTTTACCTCCAGCTGAGACGAAGAGACTTTAGATCGTTGGGTAAATACTGATTTCACTGGTTTCGTTTCAGTATTAGTGTTTTTTTTTTCTTGCCACGATGGCCTCCTCCTCTGGAAACGATGACGACCTCACCATTCCCAGAGCAGCCATCAACAAGATGATTAAAGAAACTCTGCCCAACGTCCGAGTGGCCAACGACGCCAGGGAGCTGGTGGTCAACTGCTGCACCGAGTTCATCCACCTCATTTCCTCTGAAGCCAACGAAATATGCAACAAATCCGACAAGAAGACCATCTCCCCGGAGCACGTCATCAACGGTGAGTCCCCGGCACCGTGAAGGTGTCCTCCCGCAGGTTTCAGCCCCACCGACCGAAAGCACTTCATCCACTTTCACGTCCTGTCTGTGCACCGCAGCCCTCGAGAGCCTCGGTTTCGCATCGTACATCACGGAGGTGAAAGACGTCCTGCAGGAGTGTAAAACCGTGGCCCTGAAGAGGAGGAAGGCCAGCTCGCGACTGGAGAACCTGGGCATCCCAGAGGAGGAGCTCCTCAGACAGCAGCAGGAGCTGTTTGCAAAGGTGAGGTCTAATCTGAGCAGCAGAGCCTGGCACATTGTCTGGATCGACAAGTGTTATGAGAGATAAGGTGACGTTTGTTATGCAGAGGTGTAGTTTAAAATTAAATACAAAGGCAGTCCAAAACTTACAATATTGCCTGTAGAATAATCTGTAATGACAATAATTTACACCAAGGATTAAACACATATAACTTACTGCTGTGTGTGTAGTTTTAGCCCAGCCTAGCTTTACGTTTAGGGATGCATATCGCCCTCCATTTTTCATTTCAGAGTTGTGTATCTTATTTTTATAAATGTATGTGTTGTGAAAAACTCTCAGCTGCTTCCACTTCAGGTTTTAGTTTAATATCTGTAAAATAAACGGGCGGCACGGTTCAGTTGGTAGAGCTGATGCCTCTCAGCAAGGAGGTCACCGGTTCAAATCCCGGTCCGGGGACCTTTCTGGGTAGAGTTTGCATGTTCTCTCCGGGTACTCCGGCTTCCTCCCACA